GCTTTGGTTAGTCCTTTACCTTCTGGGGGTATGAAATTAAAGTATTGCTTCGTTTGCTCGTCGTTGGTAATCTTGATAATCAGCGGGTTAGCCCCTGCATACTTACCACCCTCGTCTTTGAACAGAGGTCCGTCTCTGACTTCCTTAGTGGTTTTGGCATTTGGTTCAAAGAAGGTGCTACTGTCGTGAGTTTCTTTGTGATACCCAGTATCCCACTGCAACCGCAGCGTATGTACTTCCTTATCGCTTAGCTCGTGCCCACCAATCCCCCAATAAGCCCAAATATGTCCCAGACCATTGTTAGCGCCCGTAGTGCATCGGAAATCCTTCCCTACAACGCCAAACTCCTTACAAAGTCTGTTATAAGCCGGCACGCTGTATTTATTATCTCTTGGATAAAACGTGGCATCTCCCGGTAATGCAACCACCCCCATTTCATGTAGTATTCTTCTAACCGTGAAGTGAAAGTGAAACATAAATATCGAATTCTTCATCAAGTTTGCGCTTACACCGCAGCCGCTAGTGGCACACCAAACCGCAAAGTTCAACTGCTGCGGCCAATAACGCATGTTAGGACCGCTTAACCATTCATGAGATTCCTTAGCGGTGGTATGAACGATGGGCACGTTTTTGAAGATATCTCGCACCTTTAACGGAAAGGAATGATTGTTAGAGATCCGCATATTCAGCGTTAGGCCCAAGCTTGGATGTTCATCAAATGAAACCGCGGGTATCGGATAAGTACTGGTACCCAGCAATAATTCCTGCGACCAACCTTGCACGGGTTTAGGCTTAGGTGTGGGATGCTGCACAGATACCGTAGGCGTGGAATGCTGCAGCTGATTGTCTATTTGCCCCACCAGCGTTGGCTCCAAGTCCGCATTGCTGTACATCCTAGAGCCGTTATAGTAAATACCGTCGGGTCTTCTTTCAAACTTACTAGGGTCTGCATGTGGAAACATCTTCCTAAAGGCCCTCCAGTTCCAGTAATCCCTGTTGTCATGATGTGGCTGCTCCTCTATGTTATTCCCAAAGGCGTCGTACATTAGTATATATAATGGATGTTATACCATCAGCACCTCCACTTTATCCTGATTTACCTAACGAATTAAACGCCGAGAACTTCCGCTTGAATTAAAGCAAATCTAATCCTCGCTTACTTAGAGGGGCAGACAAAACACTATGAGGAGGTCAGGAAAAAGTATGCCAGGGCCCGAAGCATATTACATAAAATCGCAATAACTTCCGGCTCCCTGTCCGTAGCGTTAACAGGCACCGGCGTTGCTACCTCACTCACCGGACCTGGAATAGTCGTTGGCGTTCCTTTGGCCAGCGTTGGAGCCGTCTGCGGCATCGTTTCCGCTGTTACGACAGGCATTATGAAACAACTATCCGGTAAGATATCCAAGCACGACACTCATATAGCCCTAGCAAAAGCAAAGGCTAACACCATCGCCGACTTAGTCTCCCAAGCTTTGCGGGACCGCCGCATAGACGACGTGGAGTTTTCTTTGATACTCGCGGAGGAAAAGAAATACGGGGAGCTAAAGTCGGGCAATAAAAAAACCATCGTGAAAGATCTTTCCGAGGAATCTCGCAAAAAGATCTACCAGGAGGCAAAAGAGGAGCTGCAAAGAAAACTCGCTCAGTAGACATCTGCTTCGAAAAGAACGTAGGGGGATTTCGGCTGCACATTTCATCTTCTCGGAATCCATTCTAATAGGGGGTGGTTGAAGTCAATTTTGTAAAATATTTCGTAGATTACGTCGGGGTAATAAGGAATATCCTTATCCAGCCGACAAAACATCCACTCGGCTCTTGTCATATCAGAAACCTCGGGAATAGACTTACCGGTAATTTCAGACAAAAGATAAGGAATAGCTTTGTAATATTTCCCTAGCTTTAATTTTTTCAGCGTTTTCCGTAGACTTTGCGGGGTTGGCTCTTCTAAGTGGTCTATGATTTTCTGCCTTACTTCATCGTCTAAATATACCGGATGTAAACCTTGGATATGGCTCATCCAGTCCCTAAAGTATTTTATTCTTTTGTATGGGGTCTTCGTACGACCTCCATTGGCGTAATATTGCTCTTTGGTAGCATTTGGTACGGCATTACGAATATTCTTACCACACTCGTAACACTGTGCTGACGTGTCGTCTTCTATTTGCATTTTTTTACCACAACACCAGAAACCCTTCGGCTTGGGAATGTTAACTTTGAATCTTAGGCAAATCACACAGAAGTCATTGGCGAACTTTTTACATTCATGCATCGTATATCCGACAAATATTTTAACCTCCGTTTGCGGTACCCAACACAGCAGCAGTAAGGACTTATCGCGCGGGATTTCCCGTAAATCTGCTGTACCCGCGTTCGGAATTCCGCGGGTAAAACCCGTGAATATACGGCATCGATCGCGAGTCCCCCTTACTGCTGCTGACCATCATCCGAATATCATCCGATCCGTTAAATATGTCCAAAGTTTGGTAAGATAGAACCTCGATCCTAGGAGCCAAAGTTAATTACTTACTTGTGTTTCTCCAGAATTTCCAGCGCTTTGTCTACTTGTTGGTAATCTACATGATTCTATAGAGATAAATTGGATGTTCAGTTAGAAAATGAGTATTATAGCGCAGCAACAGCAGCAACAACACAACAACAGCAAAGATAAGAATAAGAACAACAACGAAAATAATTGAGTTACCATTTTCTTTTCGACTTGTGGCCACTTCATAGAGCTTTCCATGACAGCCCATTCAAAGTGTTTAAAGAAGAAATCTCGATACTTTGGGTTGCCAATGAGACTTTCAGTGTTTACCGCTGCCCCGAAACCAAATCTGTGCTTCGTTTGCTGAACCTGAATCAAATCAAAACCAAAAMAAATGTTTTATAAAATCATCCACGTTTCGGAATCAAAATGAGATATCGAAAATACGATCCGCAGGCAGCCAAAATAGCCAATATTCCACTGTTTTCCCATTTTAGACCACTTGTCATTCCCTAGAGTATCCTTTTTTTATTTAATRGTTGCGCATGAAAAGACACATGAATATGGATACAACTCAACGAAGAATCTTGTTCTGAAGGGAATGGCAAAACACCACTCCTAAGTAGATTTGGTCCATAGGCAACATGAAAACAGCGAACATGGTAAGTCGTGCTGTATAGATAACAACTGAAAAATAGTGGAAAAAGGCTATCATTTTACTCCCATTATAGAAGTGGCTGCCATATAAGGTTGGCTACGATATAGAGGTTGGCCGCTTCATAGGTGGTCATAGATGGCTGTTGCTAAGGAACATATAGTAAATTAGCCAATCAAAACGCATGATTTGTCAGTATTTATTCACCTTAATTCCCATGAGCGACAAGTCTTGGGTCGCGGCAAGTTCGTAGGGAACGTTTATCCTGAAGAAGTCAAACAAGATAAGATTAAATCATGCATGAGAGTTGAACAATTTCTTAGTATCAGAGTATATATATGGACAAAGAATAACCTTCTTATTTCAGTGGGTGCATGAAAACGTTAAGTATGAATACTAGTTTCCCTATTTTCACTCACAGCACACACGTACCACTTTACAAAAGTGACTTTTTACTTCATTTAATACAACTCTCAACTCCTGTACTTCAAAGAGTTCAAAGTGATTTTTTCAAAGAAAAAAGGTGGTACGGTGGCTTAAATCGATTTTTAAGAAGTTAAACGTTTAATCCATGTATTATCCGAGCTTTGATGACAGGAACAGTTTTGTCAGTCGACGAGTTTACTTCTCCAATTTTACCTCAATTTTACTGATCTTTTTCGGTATGTTTCGATGAGTTTATCCGTCTTGTCTTTCCATCTTGGAATGTTCATCACCTCAACTAGCTTCATATCATCTGCAATAATGTCCACCGATCGGTGAGGTCCTCTGAAGAAGATAAACACATAACGAAACCCCCTCGGCGAGGCAGGCATCTGGAAGGACGTCTTCCAACGCACCCAACCATGGTCTAATGACAGAACAAAGTGACAGATATATCCAATTACGCAATGACTGTTATAAATGTCCCTTATGAAGGTAGATCTGGCACTGAAACCTAATCTGAAATCTGGACCTGAAGAGAAATTCAAAAACTACCCGAATAAAAGCTTATACAAAGAGCTCTCTTATTTTCAAAGTTCGTTTGGTTTTTGGACATGAAAAATGTAAGTTAATGGGATCATGCAACTTACCCGAAGGTCCAAATTTATTGTTCCAACATGGCGGACATATATTTTTTATCGTTTTATTCTATTTCATATCATACAAAGGATTGCAAACTAAACCATGCCATCTTTTTTTGGAAAATATATAGCATAGATATTTGTTGATAGGTTTTACCTTCGGATAGCTTGTATCTTCTAGCCAGTCTCATTATTATTTCATTCTTTTGACCGCGTTTCTTGAATCGCAGCCATAGCTCCATATTGTGGATGTCATTTATGTTTTTACGATCAAGAAGTTGAGTCCATCCAGTAAACGTATACACAGATAGCGGCTTTACTTTACGTCCTTTTGGTAAAATGATAAATCGCCAGTATTTAGTGTCAAGATTATCAAGATTATCAGTATTTAGTGTACTTTCCAGAGATCTGCGCATGCGTAGACTAGTAAGTAACATATTCAATCCCACATGGTTAAGCATGGTTACCCATTGAAAATATAACCGGAGCAAGATCAGAGATATTACGACTTTTTTTCTTTCTTATTCAAATTTTATGTACCTATGTATTGTCCAGGACCAGCCCATTCTGACAGTCTTGCATAACATATCCCACTATATCTACCATTTCCATGGTGATCTTTGGAATACCTGGACAGCGCGCCGCCCCGAGGATCGTCTGTCTCGCCCTGGCAGCTCCAACCGTCCAGGGGACTGGGATTGAGCGGCAGTTCAAAGCTTGGGTTGTTGAGGAGGTTATTTCCGATGGGAACTGGAATGAAATCTGTTCAGTGGAAAAAGAATTCCGTTATTTTTTTCTTTATTTTAATCTAAAAAAGTTAAAGTCAAAATCTTTGTTCTTCACTTCGAACACGGTATGACTTCTTGCTGTATACTATAAAACAGGTGTAAATAAGGAAATGATCGGTCGAAATCAAAACGTAAATTCACTCGAGTTCTTTTTGAGAAAAGAACCCAAAGAAATGCCACTCGATATATCATAATCTCTTAATAGTATTTTTTTAAAAGAACAGGATTTTTTTCTTGAGAAAATCTCATTGCAAAAGTTTTAATTTGCTACGAAACTTCGAAGATTTTTTTTTTTTGTCAACTCAGTCCGTCTGCGCATTCTAGCCTTACTCGATGGCGGCCGCTATCGATGAAAGCTTCTCTAGACAAACTAAAAGTTTCTCTTAAGAGGAAAATGAAAATAAGACAGGAAAATGAGTCTTAATTGGATATCCAATCTGGCTGTTTTTCGTTTTTTTTTTTCTAATTACTCTTTTCTGCCTCAAAGCAAAACTTTCCACTTACCACCATATTTCATTTCGTCAATCTCCTCGAACAAAGGTTCTATACTGACGGGTTTGACACTTCCATTAAGAAACAATGAACTCGTACGAGCACCAGGAAGAAGTGAATCCCTCGTAGCCGCCCCTTGGGCGCTGACCGGTTGGGGCCTGAGCTGTATCTTTGATCTGTCTTGACTTGGAAGAGTCTGGTCGTCAGTTGGAAGTTCCTCTTCAGTTTCAATTGATCCTAGAAGTGGGGAAAAAACGATTGAGCGACACTCTAGCATGAGCGCAGACCTATTTTTAACCTTGCTGAAGCTTTGCTTAATTAATTCCCTTTGCACTTCTGAAGCGAAGATGGCAAACGTTCTGTCGAAACATGTTAAGTAGTGAAAACCTTAGTTTACGAAGCGTCGTTTTTGAACTGGTTCTTACAGTCAAACAAGCTCAAGCGTTGACCCCTAGATTCGATTAATGAAATCATTAGTCAATTATTCCTTTTATACGTACGAACCGGAGTAATACAATATTGCAATATTCAAATGAAAATTCAGTTCATTATTCGACTCGTGATGAAGAAGGTAAATCATCTAAATTACAGATACCTTCGAGCAGAAGTCGCTCTCTTATTTCATAAGCATACACACTAGGTTTTGTAATTTCCGTGCCTCAATTACTTGGAGTCAGACTTGGAGTCATCAGTAATTTTGTAGGGAACGCTCCCGCCTTGAGCAAAATGGAGACACAGTTCCACGTCGTCGATAATGTTGAAGTATTTTCTGGACTCCCCAACTAGAAATTTTCAGTTGTCGAGAAATTGCTTTATTGGACAATCCGCTATTGCTGAGATGAACAATTTCCTGTCGAATAATATCAGGTAAAGGCTTTCCCGGCACATAAACAAGACTACTTCTCCGGGTATTTCTGGCCGCCATGTTTTCTTGGTCTTCCTGTGTTAGCACTGATTAACCAATCAAAATGTCGTATATTGAATTTAAAGTCGATTGGAATTTTCATATCTTCGGTTTTGACGTTGTAAATTTCAACTGAATAATGAAATCAAAATTCGAAAATTCAAATCATTAATCGACTCTAGGGGTCAACGCGTGAGCTTGTTTGACTGTAACTAGTAGTAAAAAATGATAGTCCTATCAGGGCTCACAAAATAGACTAAAAACCATATGCAAACTTACCTTCAAAACTGTACACATCAATCGCCCCAGGACCTCCCGTTCCATTTCGACAGAGAGAAGATGGGCCGTATTTAGAATAAGTTAGTCCTGCATGTGGGTCGCTGACACAATGATGGTGATCGCGGACTCCAAAATAAGAGTACCCATAAACCTTTGCTCTCTGTGCACACTCTGACACAATGTCTTTGATTCTTGTTGGTGATTGGCTGAGTTGTTGATATTGATCGTTCAATAAGTCTGGTATTGCACGGTCAGTACTTAACAAATCCTCACTCCAGCAACCAAGACTGCGATACTCTAATAAGACAAACAGATTGTTTATTTGGCACTTGTATACAAATCTAAGTCAGGTACCCTAACTGACACTTCAATAAAATTAACTATGCTTTAATTTGGTCAGGAAGAAGTGGCGAATCAAAAAATCTTCTAAACCGTCACGACAGTGGCCAAATTCATTCCAAACATGATTGTTGTTGATTCTCTCCATCAAACAAGTGCAACGTCACGCGGAGCAGCTTCTGGATCTAGTTTGGTTGTAATATTGCGCGAATGAAAAATTCTAAAACATGTACTGTAATGAAATAGTTTACGATAAACGGATAAATAGAAAACATAGATATATACAATATTATTATTTTAGCAAATGCACACGTATTATAAGATAATAATTTACATGAAATATAGAAATGGAACACATAAACATCCCCCTTACCCCTCCCCCCACTAAGGCCCTTTGTGTGTTATGGAGCCATGTCTTACCTTGAAACACGTGATCCTTGTAACAAGTTATCACAGAACACGTGACCACCATCCACAAGATACCCGCATAACATGTGTCCCTCATACTACGGTTCTAACATCAATCTTGATCAATCAACAGCCAGTTATTTCTCGTCTTCATTATTCAATAAATTTCATGGTATTTTATTATCTGTGGATAGATTAACGTCTGTCGGTATTAATGATATACCGCCAGCGGTGACGGGAAAGAAAAAAAACAGTGCATAAACGGCGCCTAATTTCATTTATTCAATGGCCAAAGCAGGTGTTGGAGTAAAATACAAAAAACTCTYGAGTTAACTGTCATCATTTCATATCTAAAATAAAAATTCACACCAAAAAGGCCGGTACTAGAGGGAGCCTATTTCTTACAATTTCGACCCAAGATGCTAATGTTTTACTTACGATCTTTATATAACCYTTTATACGATTTTTTTATTGCTTTAGCTCTTTCTCTCCCCCTAATTTTTAAAATCGTGTTCTTTTTTCTATTGATCTTCTCCGATTATAATTTACATAGTAGCACCCAAAAAAAAATGAGACTAAAAAAATCGAGGTTTCTCAAAGCAATTTACAGCTCAATCAGCCTAATGTATAACGGTTCTTTAACTTGTCATTTTCGATTCGAAATCATTGTTCGTTCGTTACTACATAATTATATTTTACGCATACCTCTCGATCGGAACGAAAATTAATGGTAGAAACTTTTAGTAGTGTTTCTAAAACTAAGGATTTCTCATCTCATGTTATATCATCTCAAAACCTTATTCATTCTAAGCCACTTACCTTTGAAGCACTGTCTTTTAGTCCGCTAGGGTTAATCGCACCTCGCACCTGTTTCCGTTAGAAAAGAATCCTGTTTTTTTATTTAGTTTTAATTGAAGCCGGGCAATTTGACTCATTCTCTCATCCTTGGAGCTATCAGCCGCGGCGTTTACCGAAGAAGAATTAAGGAATTACTGAGGAATACAAGCGAACCGAATATTTTGACTTTCGTGGGGTTATCATTAAGTACCCTGATGTTTTTGTTGTTGTCCAAGTCACCTGCAGGTTACTAGTAACTACTGATTTGTTTATTTTCATTTCGTACTTTTTACTTGAAGTAAAATTTCTCAAACGCGCCATTTTGAAAGGTAACCAGGCTTTTGAGAACAGGAACCGGGCCATTTGTGACAATAAAGAGCTTAAGATTCTCGTTTACGGCAAACGTGAACCGTCAGTTGACGATTAAATTTCTTTAAAATTAGTGAAAAGGAATCGCAAAAATCTAAAAGTAGTAGATAAACAAAAGAATACTTGTCTTTGTCGAGAAGGTTTGCAAAAGGTAAAGTGAAATGTAGGAAAACGATGAAAACGTGGTCACGTTTGCCGTTTGCGGGAAGGAAAAACGGGAATCTTAATCTGCCTAATAGGCCTTATTCACGCGGCAGCCATGTTGGATTGAACCGATAGATTCCACCACGCGTAGCCTCAAATTCAAGCGCTTGAGAGTTTATTTATGCTGGGAAACAAAGGTTTTTATCCTCATGAGAATAAACATGGCCGCCGTGTGATAAATGTCCATACGCCTTGTGAAACAGAGTGCTTCGAGGGGCTTTCTCCGGTTTCCTTTCTTTCCGCAAAAAAATTATCTTTGCAAGTCCAAATCAATTTATCGGTAGCCTTATCAAATGGGCTGCAAAACCTGTTAGGGTTTCCGTCCACCATGGAGTGGTCAATCCGATTAGATTTTTTTCTATGAAGGGACGTCTCAATATTCTCGGCGGGATTCTTGTTTGAAAAACACGGCTTTCCGCTTCCACACTTCAAGATCAACTCAGTCGATGACCCAAAACAATCAAGAGCTTAAATTAGCTCAGTCCAAGTTGAGTGTATGAATCTGAAATCGATAGTTCAAAGAAGCCTTTTAAAAACTTAAACATTACACATTTCTTTAATATTTCATAAAATTCAAAATTCAAATGCCATGAATTAGAGGAAATTCGTTCAAAATATACATCAAATCTAGAACACTCTAATGTGTGCGGACTGAAAGCTTTATTTTAACTATCAAATTATATGAAACATTTATTCTTGTTTATCAAGTGTAATCGATAGAAACTTGTTATTTAAAAAAATATCAGGTTTCGTCTACTACAAAACGTTATGTTTTAAAACAAATAAAGTGAAAATTTAGTATAAATAGTCTATATTACCACGACAAACTAACTGCGTCAGAAGGATTTGTTTACGCTTCGAATACAAATGGAAATGTTCTTTTTTTCGCATATTTCAAGTACAAAAATCAGTAGGAAAGATCAATCTTAGAACCGTCGCTTGGATGAAAAGATGTATCAAACGTTTTTCGATTATTTATGCTCAACTAATTGATAATGAATTAATCCAATGATCGTTTAGCGATAGACAAAGCACTAATTGAATACTACATTTGATTTCATAAAGTGGTTGGTTTCTAGGTAGGGTTTACATGCGAGGTATAGTAACTCTTGGGATAAGTCTTTGTTTGCATTAGGTGGGCACCCAATACAAGAGATACTTTCACTAGGCAATCAGACCTCAAAAGGTGTTAGCGGATGGGCTGCAAGTGCTGCCAGGGAGATGCTGCTGCTTTGTTTTCCATCGACAAGCTTTAGTTCATTTATCAGTGATGTACCGGTGTGAAATGGCTCACTGAAATAAGTAGCTGTTGCCCTCATAAAGCGTGATCACACTGCAACTGGCTCCATCTTGCCACACCCTTCTTTTTCAATGTCCGCGCTTTGCTGTACAGGGCTTAACGATCTGAGGCTAAGCATAGAGCTGAATGATTTTCGGATTTCCTGCAACTGTTTTTTGAAACGGTCAACGAAGACCAAGTAAATCCAAGGGTTGACAGCAGCGTTTGAGGCAGACATCAAGATGGCCACGAACCAGTAGGTTTCAAAGAAGCATGACGTGGGTGGTTTCCCATGCCAGATGAAGATCAGGAGGAACATCCCGACATTGAAGGGAGCCCAGCAGATGGCAAAGCCAAGAACAACAGCGATGGAGAGCTTCAACAAGGTCCACATTTTGATAGCACGACGCTTCTTTGCTCGAGGCGACAAGGAATGTGCCATGATCTTGTACGAAGCTCTTGCCTTGATAACGAGGTAAGTGTACATGCAGGTTAAGCTGAAGAAGGGAATGATGACAAACAGCACGCAGGTAGCTGTTATGTAAGCCATGTGAGAAGTGACATGGTCAAAGGCAGGAGCCCAGTTGATGCCACAGCTCAGTATTGTTGTTCCATTGGTCCCTTCACTAGGATTTTCAACCCGCTCCAGTCTGAATACGTACATATAGGGTGCACAGTATCCCATGGCGATGATCCAGGTTAAGACCACCATGATCAAGTGCAGCTTTGGTTCTTTGTATGATGGCAGCTTCGGTCGCGTTACGGCTAAAAACCGCTCCACGGTAATGCAATAGAGAGTCAAAGTGGAGACGATTGGAGATATGTCTGCTATGAAGAAGTACAACTTGCAGAAAACGTTGCCTACAAGCCCACCGACTTGCCATTCCAAGCTGCCCGATATGACCTCGAAGAGCTCTTTTGGTACCATCAGAAACGGCACGAAAAGATCCGAAAAGGCCATGTTGACAATGAAAATATCCATGACTCCTCTTGGGCTCTTCGTTCGCAGCACAACACCTATGACAATGATGTTCCCAATTGCAGACACGAAAAAGATGATGATATAGGCCAGAGCTTTACAGACCGTGGCTCCAAGCGAGCTTGAAATATCACAGACTTCGCCATTCTGCTGCAAAGCCAGCGATGAGTTGGTAAGATTCATGTTTTATAGCGCCCAACAAACGTCTCATCTAAAAGTGACACGTATTTCCAATAGCAATGGTGCTTCTATCTCACCGAGTGACTTGAATGTGACTAAGACATAACACAAACTCGCTAAATATATTTTTATCGGGAGACCGCCTTAATATAGGTCATACTTGACGTAACGCTGCATGAAAGCAGATTGGCTGCAAGGCAGCAACTTGTATAAACACTAACACATTCATTGCGGAAACCCTTAAGATCAATGAAGTATACTGCCAAAATCATGGCGATAGCGGACAAAATTAATCACGAATTCATCAGTAGTGCGTAAAGAAAACAGTTGAAATTTTTTTGAGTTCTTTTTGATGAGCTATTATTTCAAAAACTTGAAGTTTAAGACTTGAAAGTTGTCATCGATGTTGGAAGCCTATGGCTTGAAATGTCGCTTAAGGAGTTCGACCTTGTTTTGGGTCGGTAAATGAACTCTATCGAGTCCCGACGGAAGAAAACAAAGCGCAAAAAGAAAAATAATTTATTCATTTATCAAAAATCGGCTTAACTATCAAAATCTGGTTCCAAAATTCACCAACAACTTAAGATTAGCAAAAATGTTGTTACGTTAATTCTGGCTTTCTAAATTGGATAAAAATGAGGGATCTCTGAAGAAGAAAAAACTTTGTTATCGATCAAAAAAAGATAGATCGAGACAGAAAAAAGCGTCTTGGATTGAATAATGAATGAACAAGTCTTAACCCTAAAAGCTTTTCCAGGCTTGGTGTTCTCACACACATCTTATCTGCAGGAAATTAATCTGTGCACTTGTCAAGAAAAAGAATTAAACAAAGTGTTTAAAAAAACTACAAATTTCCCGTGAACTTGGTTGCAGTTTGTGTCTAAAAATAAAGACAATCAAAATAAAATTTGTGAGTGGCGAAAAAATTGTTAACTCGTCTCTCACCTCTGGGCAATCTCATACTGAGAGCCTTTATTTCTTACTGCGCATGCGTGTCGAGCATGCGCAGTAAGATATAAAGGCTCTGGGTACGAGATTGACCTCTGGGGTCTCGGGAGGTTCGAATCACATGTGAGTAGGGTTTGTTAGGTCTCTCCCTTGATTCAAGGGTTTTTTTCTCCTGGTTCAACATTCTAAATTCCAATTCCATCTGTGAGTTAGCCATGCCCTGACTTAGATCAGACCAGAGGTTGTTTCAGGGTTGAATCTGTGAGTTAGCCGTGCCCTGACTTAGATAAGCCCAGAGGTTGTTTCTGGATTCGATAAAATTGATGTGTTTTGCATGTAAATTTAGTTTACAGACATCGAAAGGTGTACTCACTTCATGGAGTTTAGTTTTAAGTCCCACAGAAATCTCCATACAGGCGAAAATGAAAATAATCGAGATTGCGTTACTTTTTTGGGTTACTTTTTTGCGTTACTTTGTTGCGTTACTTTTGCGTTTCATCGCTCAAATCATTTCGAGAATCATTTTACAAAATTGTTCAATGAATTTTCGAGATTTTGCGACGTCAATCTTGACCGGTGATCTTCTTAGTGAAGATTCAGCAAAGTTCATTACAATGGTAAATTCATTGATATTCCTTGGCTTTTTTTCAGGACAAGCATATCTGAGAGGCAAGTTTTTGCGTATTTTTGTTTTAATCCTTGAAAACCCATATATGACGAAGAAAGAGTCTAAAGCCCTAGAGATTAGAAAGCAGACAAGTGACCTTGGAAGATTTGCAACTTGGTCTAGCTTCATAAATGGAATTTTCTTCGGCTTGTGTCCATTTGTTTTCTCTGGGAAAAGTAAAAATAAACAAATAGTCGTTATCTAAAAGATTTGACAAAAGCATTTTTTCTTATCAAGGGGAAAAAAGCTTTCAAGGAAGGACCACTGATAGTTTGATAAAAAAGATAAAGTAGTCTAAACAAAAAAGAAAGCTTCCCGTTCTGTCTAGCTTTCTCGTTCGGCTCATTTGGTTTTCGCTGATGCCCTTGGTTCATTTCCGCTTTTTTTTTTTTTTTTCGGTTTAAATAAAACAGTGCACTTTTTTTCTCGCCTCTTTTGTATTTTCCTTCGTAACTATACTTGCTTGCATAATCGTTCATTGATTCGTTCGCTCGTTAGTTCACTCGCTAAATCCCGCTTCGATTTGTGAGTTAGCGGTATGACCACGACTTTAATTAGGATGGAGGTTGTTTCGGCGTTCTGTATGTGAGTTGACCGCACGCCCTAACTTAGATCGGCCCAGAGATTGTTTCAGGGCTTGATCTGTGAGTTAGCCATGCCCTGACTTAGATCAGTCCAGAGGTTGTTTCAGGGTTCAATCTGTGAGTTAGCCGTGTCCTGACTGAGATTAGCCAAAAGGTTGTTTCAGGGTTTGATCTGTGAGTTAGCCATACCCTGACTTAGATCAGCCCAGGGGTTGTTTCAGGGTTTGATCTGTGAGTTAGCCATGCCCTGACTTTGATCAGCCCAGAGGTGTCTCAGGATTCGATAAAATTGAGGTTTTGTTTCAGTATATCCAAAGATTCCTCTCGTACCTTGTGTATCCATTCATATTCTCCAAACTTGCTATCAAATGTTCCCTTTTGCAAGGATCTAAGCTTTAGTGTGAATCTTGGTCCCAACTCTTGAAGTCCGACTTTCTTGGAATTCCTAAAAATATACCTAAAAACATATATGTCAATTTTTAATTATGATTTAATGAAGTCTTGTTAATACTAAAAGCCATAGGCTTGTTATTTCATCATCCCCAAGCTACTCGCTTCGCTGTTCCTCTCAGACGAGTGAACACCATATTGAATTGAGAGAGCTCACAATGAAAATCTAAGGCCTTGCAACAATATGATTGTATGATTGTACATATAGAGGCTTTGCACCATCACGTTATGGCAGCAATGACAGAAGAACGGAAAATAGTCTTTTTCCACTGGGAACCTTCTTCTCCTGCCTCTACTTCTACTTTATTAATAGATAAAGTGTATTTAAGGCATCACATCAATATAAATAAATAGCTAATATATAAATAAATAAATATAAGTAGTATAAAACTTATAAAACTCCTGTCAAGGGTGCCATCAAGTGATGGTGCAAAACCCTATACTATATATTTGAAGCAATGAAATTCCAGATAACGACTTTTGAGCCAATCAAATTGCAAAGTGTGAAGTTTTAACCAATCAAATCATCCTATATATTCTGCCTTACCTATGACGTCTAAAGAATATAAAATCTCGTTGGTTGTGGAAGGTGACACATTGTCTACCCTGGAACTGAGGATCATATGGATATAGTGCAGCCAGCAGTCGTGCTACCGAATGACCCAGTCTTGTGTTGAAGTGATTCAAAATGAGCTCTGGTCTGTGACTAGTCATTCTTCCATGGCCCTGCAGAATTAATGATAAGATATATAATTGTCAACTGAGTCCAAGGTTTGAATCATAAATTATGGTTCACCATTTTTATTGTAAATTGTTGCTGAAAAGCTCTTTTAGGAACATTGATAAAGTATGTATGTATAACTGAAAGTGCCAGCTGATCTAAAAAAATGTCAGCCAATCAGAATCAAGAAAATCTCCAAAGCTGAAGTGTCCTCTGCCACCAAATGAAAAAATAACGTTGCTAATAAGAGATTGATAACAGTAACACAATATCTAATGAGTTTTATATTTTTATTGCAATGGTGGACAGGTTTTTATTTTTCGCTGTTCAGTTCGAAGGCTTCATGACACCTTAGTTTTGCAGTGATGTCATTTCTACGTCACTATTTCAGATCAGCTGGTGACCACTACAAATGTGATGGGATGGTACTGATGGGATCAATGAAAAGACCTCACTGGTCATTCAATGTGTATAGAGTTCATTGATAGTTGTAAGCACAAGTTCTTAAGAGTTCTCTTCCATTCACTGGTTTTCCTCCCTCACCAACACTTCACAAAAAAGAAATAGAGGATATTACATGGGCGCACGGAGATACGAAATTTATCTTCGAGTGTTGAAAAGATCTCTCACAAGTGAGCGCAGCGAACGAGTGAGAGATTTTCAACACGAGAAGATAAATTGCGTATCTCCAAGCGCCCGTGTAATATTCTGTTTATTATATAATTATCAATGAAAGTATGTTTTGGCTTTTTCAGGCAATTCTTTCCGTGTATTTTTGAATAGCCATCACAATGGTGTTATTTTCACACGTGAAAATAACATGTTATTTTCACGTGTGAAGATATCAATTTTTCGAAATAGAGAAAAATAGATATTTCATTGGTAATTATATAATAAAACTCTTTTCCATACTATTTCATGACTCAAGATTTTAAGAAACTAAAACGTTTTCACTAAAAGTTTTAAAAATCAGAGAAAAAAACAAGTCTGATACGATATTAATGCAAGATTTTCTCAAGACGTTATTTTACCCATATATTTCTTGGTAGTTTGACACTTGTCAGCTTGAAGTAAGCCGTTGGTCCATCAGGCAAGTGAGTCACAACCAGCCCATCTAAAGCATATTGTTAAAGCATGCATAATAGAATAATACCTTTGGCAGAATGCAGATTGAACCAACAATGGGAATGGAAGCTGGGTATATTTTAAGGGAAGGGGTGAACAGTCTTGATAATAGTGATAATAATAATATACAATTTATATAGCACCTAACCAAGTCTGCTCTAGGCACTTTATAACAAAGATTAGTTAGAGTCAAACTATGAAAAAAACAATTTCTTATTACTTTAAAGTATTTTTGTTTTTGACAAAAAAAGTCCAAATGTTTACCATGTAGGGAAATGAGAGAAGCTACTTGAGTCCTCGTAAAAATGTAAATTTTTCAGCATTTTTTAAACACGGCTTTTATAGGGGGAGGGGGGTTATTTCAAATATAATTTAGAAAATATTTATCACCCAATATTTTACACTTACATTTCCAGAAAAAAATATTTTACTTTAACTTTTCAATTAATTCAATTCACCCTAAGCCCAAGAGTTTCTAAATGATTCCCAGTCATGATGGGTGAAAAATAAAAGCCATACTCCTGGAATTTGAAATAACAATGAACATTACTCCCAGTATATCAATAATTACTAGATTGAAGGATACTTGGTTTGCTATTATCCTCGTTGATGACTACCATAGCAGTGTATCCTCTTGAAACAGCTTGTGGAATAATTTTCTTTAAATCTCTGCCTTTTCTCTGGCGTACTTCAGAATTTGGAATACATTTACAGAGTTCTTCCATAAGCAAGACTGTTGCCTGAGAATTGACAAATATGACAATCACACAACATGATAACAATTTGTATAAATACATGTATACTGTTGTTGGACAAATTCCTGTAAAAAACCACGACCAATTGCAAGCAAATAACAATGTATAATTCATTCATACCTATAGATTGTACATTTTAAATTTCAAACTAGTGTAAGAGTATTATTTCTTTATTTTGCAGTTGCATTTGAAGGCACATGAATATGGTTACACCTCAAACAAAGATTTTTATAAAGAGACTAAATGTTTGAGATGGTTAAACCTAATGCCCAAGATAAAGTGGCCCATTGCAAGCAATTGTACTTTTTAAAAAGAAAACCAAAAAAAGCACACATACAAAAAAAAAAAAATGAACAAACAAAACACTTACAAAAAAACATACACACAAAAAGACACACACAAAAAATTGTAATATACTGAAACGTCTGTAAAGAGGGTTCAAAATCTTGTACATACATTTTTTGGTCTGTCACTTGAAGTGATCACCACTTTAGGTGTTACTTCTCTTTTGAAATACAAACTCAGTTCATCTGTGGCTTCATCATTGAGAATCTTTGAAATAAAACAAGCATTTATGAGATAGGCAGAGCTGTGGCCTAAAAGAGAGCCTTAGAAGTGTGAAGCGCTCACTTGGTCAATCTATTATCTATTACATTAAGAACTCAAACACTTGGAAAAGCTGTTTTAACAGCTAAACCTGCAGTTAACCATTGACAATTCAAAAATGTTTAGATTTTATCAATACCATTAAACAGGCTCTGAGTTGATCAAAGTTAGAGCACTGAGCTAACTCACAGATTGAATTGGAATTTTGCATGCTTCTGCATAAGTTTTGTAAGGGAAGGTGGAAAATTAGGCAAAGACCATCAAATCAAGGAAGAGATCATAATAATAATAATAATAAATGGGATCTAGCAGTGGCATTTCTACAGAGTAGCTATTCATCCACTGTAATTCCAATTGGAATTTAGGAGTTGATTTTTGCGGAGGGAGGAAAGCCGGGAAACCCAGAAAACCCTCAAAGCACAGGAGAGAACCAACAAACTACTCAACTTAAATACAACACCGAGCTCAGCGGGACTCGGACCGGGTCACATTGGTGAGAGGCGAGCGCTCTCACCACTACGCCACCTGTGCTTCCCAAAAACTAAAAACTCTTCTTACATGTCATGCTGAGGCAAGGAATTGATTCAACCCAAGACCTCTATACCATCCAGTGATTCTCATAGAGCATTTTCACTCACGTGAGAAGGCAGCCATAAACAATAGAAATTTCTGCACAGTATTTGCATAAAAATAGAGTTCAATTCCCGGAGGATAGAAAATGTATTGTTTTGGTATCCCCATAATGGCCACTGTGACGTCGTGAAAACGCTTTATTGATAGCTATTAACCTTTTGATTTCTTATTGGTTATTGCTTGTTTACATTTTATTTTCTTATTTTCATGAAGTTTTTCAGTTACCTCTTCATCATCAACATTCACAATAGTTTCATCTTTCACTCTGGTGTTTTCAATAGTTCTGGGGACTTGTTTTGGTGGGGCCTGAAAATAAATGACAGAAAAGATCAAAGAAAATTCGTAATTTTTCAAGTCATTAATCTACCACGTGGAGTGTCAAATTGTTGTGGACAAATAAACAAACAAACGCACCGAATCGAAAATATCTAATCCTCGAATTGTAGTTTTATGGCCTTTAAGATTGCTTGAAAGCACTGTTCTAAAGAATACTGTCAAACAAAAATCATTTCTAAATAAAAACTTCGACTATGATCGACAAAAAGCAACGAAGAAAACTCCAACACATTTCTAACACAATCTTTGCATCACACCTCGTCTCCAAGAGCGTCGTCTTCCCTCTTCCTCTTCTTTCGTCTCTCTCTCTTTTCCTTAGCCTTCCTGATCTTTTCTTTCCAGTAAACCTCGCTTCTTTGTATTTTATTTTTCATGCGAGAGAAGTCGACTGGTTTTCTTTCTCTTTCGTCCGCCATCTTGGATAAACTGAGCCCGCAGTACTACTGCACGCTTTTAAAAATGACCGAATAGGATTCTGGGTAAGTTAAAACTCTTTGAAAACGACCGATATTCATTTGTCGAGATAGTTTAAAAAATGGTTTCTAAAAAAAATCGCAAATTTTCATATAAAGGACAAAAGTGGTAAGTAATGGCCTCTAAGAGACATGCAGCTAGTTAGCTCATTTGTTTATTATCTAGAATCAAGAATATAATGTTTGATACCGGCAGTATATCAACAGAGTCTCGAATATCAGATATAGCTATCGGAAATTCTCAAATACGTAAAAGAAGGAAGAGAGAGAGGTATCTGGTAGGGTATCTGGTAGATTAGTCAAGAGGAAAAGGGACATAATCTATGTGCCGCATGTTCGAATCTGGAATATAATATTTGATATACTGACATTACGTGTAATATCGACGGAGTTTCAAATATCAGATAGTTATCGTAAAAATCTCAAATAATATCGAATAGCAAGCTGGTACGTAAAAGAAGGAAGAGAGAGAGGTATCTGGTAGATTAGTCAAGAGGAAAAAGGACAAAATCTATGTGCCACATGTTGGACGAGTTCCGGCTAACTTAGATTAATACTAAAACAAGCCGATAATCGATGTATTAGATCTTATTTGTGCGCGGGGACTGGGAAATGCTGCGTAGACTTGCGGTAGTCGTAGTACCATAAAAACAGAAGATACAGCAACATATAGAGGGAAAAGCCAAGTAGAGTAAAAGACATTGCCAAAATAATGATAATATGATTTTAAAAAGATTTTTAAAATCCTATCTGAATACAATGGGGTTCGAACCCACCAACAGAATCATTTTAAAAAAATCGACTCCAATGTGCCATACCCCCGAGACATCCGCAGAGCTGGGGCGTCGTATGGACTTCGGACCTGACGGCGATTAAATCCTTCTGCCCTTGGGTGCACGAATTACGCAAGAAAATGTTCTAGCCGAAGCATCAGGGGAGAGACCAGCCGGCCCCCAGACCATTTCGGCTAATCCCTTGCATCTCTGCCACGCACGGAATCGGTTGAAAATTTTATGTTAAAACTTCTAGTCTATCTGGTGCATTGTTTTCACGGCTATTATTATGCTGATTTACCTGTCAACCGTGGTCCAGTGGTAAAAACTTAGGCTTCCATGACACTGAGTCAAGTCCGGTTGAGCGAAGTTAGTACCCGGATGGGTGACCTGAAACTTATGCCTACTTAACTTTTTTGCGAGTTTTTTTCCACTTACTTTTCAAAATTAATAATTACGAATTTTTCTAGTTGAGAAATGGTTAAAAAAAATTAAAAACTGCCGGGCACTTTAATGCGTGCTTGGCAGTCTGTAATCGTGAGCAATTTTTCCCGACTAATATAAGAGAGTCGTTCGTGGTCTGCGGGGTGTTCTGTACAGAGGAAAGACTGAAAACGTCCAATTTAATTTCTTAAGCTGAGGAGAAGCGCGGCTTGAAGTTTTTTTACAAAGATAAAATCGATTAGAATTCGTTTTAGTTTGGTTTAGTTGAGAAATTGTCGAAAATAAAATAAACTAGATACTCAGTCAAATTGGCAAACTAATCGCGCAGTTCAGTCGATTAACATGCAGCACGACTCGAAGTCGTGTAACACGTAGTAAATCGATCGTTTCTTATTTGCAGCAACTGGTCTTAACATGCAGAAACTCTTTTGTAATTTGTAGCAACTCGTTAAACTGGCTCAGTGCATGCCCTTTAGGGGCCGCCAAGTTATGGGGACCCTCACTTTTTTTCAAGTTTCAGAAGCCTCTTGGCCGCGGTGTTTGAAAACTGGACTGTTTTTTTTTTTTTTTTTTTTTTTTTTTAATGCACCTTGCGATTCAGTAGTAGCCTGCGAAATCCGAAAACAAACTGTTGGTTACGTTCGAATCAAACCAATAGTTTGTGTTTGGATGCACACAGGCTATGCGTTTAGTGACCTTCCCGCAAATTAACGACAGACATAGCGCCACGTTTTCACATTTCCCTGCGGCATTTCACTTTACCTTTCGCAAACCTTGTGACCAAAAACAATTATCATCTTATTTATCAAACGCTTGGATAATTTTCATTATTTACTTGTCAACTGACGTTTCACGTTTGTAGTGAACCGGAGATCAGTTAAACTCTCGCACTAAAACCATATGAAGATATTTCTGGAAAATGACTGTAGTAAATTCGTCCTATTGTTCTATCTTTGTTGAGAAATGTTCCGAGTGCTTCCAAAGGTCTTGCTCTCGCGAGATTTGATTCGCCGATGCAAATCAAACGAAAATAGGTCTGGTCTTCGTGCAATAGAAGACAGAAAGCAAAGAGGAAATCGTTTGATTTAATAGCATGTTGATATCTAGATACTTCTTCTCAAATGCCTCTAATACATTAAACGCGRCCCTCTAGGCTGCAATGACGATTTTCTCAGTAACTGAAATCCTTGCATAGCAGCGTTTACGAAACTTGTTGACACTTTCTGATGTATGTTTTGGTCACCACGGGATAAAATACGAATGCATTCTAGTTAAATAAGCGATGTCCTTAATTTGCGGGCGGCCTACAATTAATTTGCGTGATACTTGACTACAAACATTTCATCAGTGTGTATGTAGGATTTATTTATGCGGGCAGGGARTAATCACTAGCTGCGCACCCCATGACCGTCATTTACTCTTCAAACACTTTCGTACCGTACCCCGCAGTTATTATGAAGTTTCCGAGCACGCAATGTATCGCTTGAAAGCACAGCACCTCAGCACTAGGGGTCACCTTAGTCTTCAGTAAACGCTCTCATGCAACTATTATATAACTCTCATACAACTATTACATAACTGTGAGATTTTGAAATCTGAAAAATCTTTAACATTAAAACTACCCGGCACTATCCAAAAGAGCACTTAAAAATCAATAAATTAGGAAGTTTACGTTACAGCAAAACTTAAACTTACAATTTCATGCAAATTCCATTGTTTTCTATTGTTTAATTWGCACTATTTTGTAGTATTTAGTAATGAGTGTTTCACGGATTAATTGTTTGCACTCTATTGGAGATCAAAGTGAGAGAGTTTTGTATGAATTTCTTCTCATCGTTTTGATGATTTCCCACATATCTAAAGTCTGTTAACTCTTAAGGGATTTTTCAAAAGTGCACATTTTAATCTAACAAACATATTCTTTCATATGAAGAAACAAATTTCCATGAATACTGACATGATGAAAATGGTGTGTCTGAAGTTTATTCAAGGATGATTTTTCCGTATGAAGGTGGCACCGTCACAAAGAATACTTTCGTAAATAAATATCTTCGTTATGAAAAACAGAGCTAAAATTCATTTCGAAAACGCCTAATTCAAAGTGGACCGCCGAAACTGAAACTGCCTTCTCTCTTTCGAAAACGCTGATACAGTGATACTGTAAGATTTATTTATAGACAACAAGGTTTTTGTTACCCCTTGCTCCAGATATATAGTTCTGGTAATCTTGATCCGTGAGTAACAATGAAAACGCCGAATGTACTGTATTCTAACCCAGCTCACTTCTTAATGTTAATAGCATAGGATATATATGAAGCAAGTGAGTATCTAGAATTTGCCATAGGGGGGAGGGGGAGGGGGTAAACTTCCAACTTAGTTCAACAAACCAACCCTCCCTCTCCCAAAATTAAATGAGATAAATTATATTCCATTCAAATCAAATAAATAAGATTCCAATGACAGGCCAGGGGGAGCGCTCACAACACCCTTCGATTCCCGCCCCTCCCCCTCCCCCTCCCCCTTCTCTAGATACACCGTTGCCATGAATTTTCCGGTCAGTGAGAGCGACAAAGGAACAGACAGTTGGTCAGTTTATAGACAAGCAATGAAAAAGATTCAACTAGATCAGAACGCAAACACTAGAGCAGAACTGTCTCAGTACTATCGTTATATGATTATATTTTCTTGCTGCTGTAACTATCGATCCTTGCAGTGAAGTTCTAGACACTTTGCAGTGTGGCTAAGTTCTTATAGGACGTGTTTGTCCCGACTGTATAGCAAAAGTAAAGTTTATTTTACTAAATAACTGATTGTTACCAACCACGCCCTCAGGGACATTTCTGCGGTCCCAATTATGAAACATAGATCGATACGTCAAAAAATTTAATGGAGATCGAAAAAGTATTGAATGATATATTTTTGTGCAAAAAACAAGACTGAGGCGCTATTCAAAGCTCTCTTCAAAACAGATCAGACTCTGTTGAGACATGCATATGTATTCCACACCTGAATAACAGGCATTTGCATAACAGCTTCACATCAATCATAGGCTTGTATCATCCAATCAAAACATATTTCATTGTTAGTGGAAAAATACATTAATCACAGTCAAGTAGCTTCGACTTTAGTTGCAGTGACAGAGCTTGCTCGACTTGGAGTGCAATTTCACCATGGCAAAGGTAAGAAAAAGAAATACGATTCTTGCAAGAAATATATATCTGACTTGACTCGTGTCAAACGGTTTAGTCTTAAGCATCAAGTAGCTATTACAGTGAGGACACTCGACACTGAGTTTTTTTCGAACGGGTTATTATTTCCAAAACGTTCTACTGTTTTAAGCCCTGTAAAATAAAGCATTGCGTTCAAATACACCTCACAGCATTGAGTCATCAAAAAGAAATCTTGTTCCCAATCGATTGGTTCAAGGAATCATTTATCGATACATAGTATAGGCATTCTTTAAAAAGTAGCGAAAAAACAAAGTGTTCGTGGCTCGAGTGTTCCGTCACTGTAAGTAATGAAAGGAAACTAAAATAATGACGACTTAATATTTCATTTTCATAAAGCAAACCTCAATCGCTGATGTGAAAAAGAACTGCCCCGTCTTCAAGACCAGCCATTGTCCATACACTGGACTAAAGGCACAGTTGGCTAGGAGTAGTGTGTTCGACCACGGATGTATCGTTAAACCTGGTCAATGCAAGACTTYAGCCGAGGTATCTGATRTCCTGGCTACTGTTGTGCCTAAAGGCGAAGCRGAAGAAAWGATAATGGCCCATGCGATCCAACAAGCTGTTCTTCTTGGCTACAACGWAGAGAAGAAGATGGGCAAATCTTGCCCTGTTCTTCCAAACTGGCCCTTCAACACCAAAACGGATGGRACAGCAGTGTTYACTCCGCAAAGTGCCATTGTAAGCATAATGTTTTTCATATTTTTCTTCATGACGTATTCATAGCTAGTCATATCACTTTTTCATTWGGGAACGACTAGTTGCGCAAAACCCAAAAACAGAACTCATCCTATCCGAACTGTGGCGCGCTATTAAAAGCACTACATTTCGTTTACAAATCTATACAATACCAACTTTATGGCATCGATCTTTTCCTAACATACCTGCTTAGTGACTTTTCGTCGACGAGTGAGGGCATAGTCCGGTTTGTATACGCCTATAAAAGGGCCATATTCCTTGAATCTTTAGAGGATGATGCAATGCCCAAAAGTTAGAACATTGTCGAGAGAGATGGGTCGACAGTTTGAAATTAAAAATTAAAAAAAAAAACGGTATGTTTTTAGTAGTAAAAGTTAAAGAGGCGTTTTTGCGCGTTGTCGTATTAGTCTTTGCAGATGCCCAAAAATTAGAACATTGCCAAGAGAGGTGGGAAAATTTGAAATAGAAAAACAGCTTGTTTGTGGGTGTCTTGTCTTGATAGATATATAATTATGGATTGACGAACAAATTGCAAATACAAAGATGTTTTCGATCACGCGCGAAGATCATCTTTAGAGACTACACCCAACTATCGTTACGTAACATCAGTCGTTATATTGCAATACAATATTAATATAATTATGGATTGACGAACAAATTGCAAAGCCAAAGATGTTTTCGATCACGCGCGAAGATCATCTTTAGAGACTACACCCAACTATCGTTACGTAACATCAGTCGTTATATTGCAACTACAATATTTCCTTAAACAATTAGGAGCCAACATTCTGTTAGTCGCGCTATATTGGTCCAGTTATCGCTTCTAGCCAGCAAGGTCAAGAAAAGTCTGAAAAGTTTGAATAACAAAGATATTTATCACGTACGGTTGAAAACGTACATAAATTACTTATTACCGACAGCTGATAGAAAGTGGGAAAAAAGATATGTATATGATACGTGGGATCATTGTTGGGAAAATGAGCCCAAATGTTTGCAGCTCTGTTGGAAACTCTTTAGACAAAAGCCCTCTCTCTCGTAACAGTTTAAAGCAGTTTTGGGTGCGCGGTTGATCTAGAATGAGCTTAGTCGGATATACTCTGTGTTGACAATGAAACGTGTTTACCCGGTCTGTCTGCTTCTTAGGCCTAGGGCAAACGTCGAACTTTTCATGCACCGAACTTAAATACATCAAAGACTGCCGCCTCATTATCACCTGATATCCATAATGAGTTCGGTGCATGGAAAGTTCGACGTTTGTCCTAAGCCTTAATTTGATGGAAATTGGTAGACAAAACTGTTTTGTGTCCTGGTAACTTTTCAGTTTGAAAGCAGTCTGGATTGGTTTAGAATCCGCACTCTGTTCTTTCTCTCAGTACTTATGCAAAGACGCGAAGGTTTCATGCGCTAAAACTCACTCCCTGGACTTAGATTAATTCTACTTTCCCTTCCGAATCGTTATATAAAGAACTGTGCCTTCCCGCAAGCGTCTTTGTTACGGTTAGACACATTCCTTATATCGATCCCTTTCAACAACTTTTGCGACGGCTTATTTTTAAAGTATTCAACAAGATTTGATATTATGCCAAACGTCCGTCCAAAAAGTGCCTAAAATAGAGCTGGTGTATTGTTTTCAAGTCAACGCGTCAAAACAATGGCAAGCTTCAGAAGGACGGCCCCTAAGGACGTCTTCAAAGAAGGCTACAGTACCACTATCCTTGGTTTTAACACTCTGACTAAGATCCCCGTATTCCGTGAGTAACCTTTTAACAAAAAAAAAAACTGTCAACTAATATGAAGCACATGCGTTTTTCTAGCAAGTCTTGAATTTGTTTTGAGTGAAGTATACTCTCCTTGGGTTTTGGGGTTCAATGGTCAAAATCTTGCGGGAAGGCGTGACAATGAAAGTTCTAAGAATAAACAATCACGTCATGTTTTTCGATTGGTCCTAGGATTCAGTGTATGTCACCATGGATGACGTTAAGCAAAAGTGCCCAGCCTTCAAAAAGGGTAATGATTGTCCATACAACGTTCCTGAGCTGAAGGGACTTGGTAAAGGTTGTCCAGAATTCAAAGATGGATGTCCCTTCAAGAATGTTAAGACTGTTGGTGAGTTTCGAGAGAAGCTAGGAGAGATGAGAGAAAAGTGCAAAGGGAAAGCCAACTACAACAAGGCTCTCGAGGTATGTTTTCTGTCACGGATCCTACATCATACTCTAGTTGAAGATTCCCACGTTTTTGTTCTCTGTGAAAGAATGTCTCTAATTTAAACCCTTCGGATTCATTTATGTTATATTTCTTTAGCTTACTACAAAAGCTACTGGAGAGAAAGTTGCTGAACTTGGACATTGCCCATTCCACAAGTATGGCTGTCAAGTCAAGGAAGATCTGCAAGGCCAAGCCATCGTGAGTCAACCAATTATTATCATCATCATCATGTTATCCTCTTGTATGCTTGCTTATCATTATTGACGATAAATGACAGCAAGTATATCAGTGAAGATATAGGTCTGTTCTTTCTAGATCCAAGGGCTTTTCCAGTTTCTCGCGTTTTCTTCTGCCTACAAAATCTAACATGCTAAATTCAAGTCATTTCTATATGTTTGCTAGGCGTTCTCTCACCTTAGATCACCACATAGGTTGGTAAATATAGTATGCTCTCAATATTTGATAGGCAAACGACATCGTTGAATTGGATTATGTCAAGAACCACTGTCCAGTTTTCCAGAAAGGACATTTTTGCCCTTACGATATCCCCTGCCTCAAAGGACTTGGAACAAAATGTCCAGAATTCAAAGATGGTTGTCCCTTCAARRACGTTAAGACGGTTGGAGAGTTCAAGCAAAAGCTCGGAGAGATGAAAGACAAGTGCAAAGGCAAGGAAAACTACGAAAAGGCTTTGGATGTAAGTATCATCATAGCAAGTGGCTTAAAGAACCACATTTTCTCCTCAATTAAGGCCAACAAACACGAAACGAAAAGATGCTTGAAATGCAATGGAAATGCTGATGACATCAATAACTTAAAACGAACMCTGTGTATGCTTTTGTTCAGTGAAAGATGAAAAGCCAGAGACATAACAGTGATGAGTACGATTCTTGTCGGGCAAATACGTATACAATACATAAAATATTCTTATCCTCGCTCAAAAAGGAAATTAGTGGCAGAGAACAGAGCTTTCGATATTTATTAGGAATATGATMTTTSAAGKTTTTCTGTAACGGTTCTRTTGTAGATGATTATGGCGGCAAGTGGAGAACAAGTAGGCAAGTTTGGTCACTGCCCTTTCTTCAATTTTGGTTGCATGTTGAAGACTGATGGTGATGACAAACCAATTGTGAGTAGAAAGCCAATTTCCTATACAAATCCTTATTAATATAGATAAGTCATAGATATTTAGCGTCTGTTAAGTATGACTTTGCATTGAAATATAGCATTCAGAGTGGTTTACCATGGAGTATGTCAAGGAGCATTGCCCTGCCTTCCGCAAGGGAAAGTTCTGCCCTTACAACGTGTCTGAACTCAAAGGACTTGCAGAAGGCTGCCCAGCCTTCAAGGATGGCTGTCCGTTCAAAAACGTGAGAACTGTTGGAGAGTTTGAAGGCAAATTGGCTGAAATGAGAGATGAATGCAAGGCAAAGAGCAAATATAACGAAGCTTTGAAGGTAAGACTAATGACCAAAAGCTGGAATAAGAAATAAAACTGTTGCTGATACTTGTTGGTTGGTATGTTGTAGATCATCTATGGTGTCAATGGAAAGCAGTCTGCCGTGATCGGCCATTGTCCGTTCTTCAAGTTTGGGTGCCCATTCAAAACGGATCGTCAAGGAAAAYCAATTGTAAGTCGTTACTGTAACTCCCGCTATTCCTCCATCATCCTTCATCTTAAACATTTTCTTCRGCCAATCCACAGGTTTTCTCCTCATATCTTACCCCTAAATCACTTCCACATTATATTACTATAAACTATATTAAAATTTTGCTGATAAAGCTAAAGAAATCATTGTTTTCAAGGTTCCTGATCTTGTCACTCTGGACTACGTAAAACAACACTGCCCAGCATTCCATAAAGGTAAACACTGCCCTTACAATGTCAAGGAACTCAAAGGACTTGCCTCTGGTTGTCCAGAATTCAAGCGGCACGGATGCCCCTTTAAGGATGTGAAAGATGTTCGAGAGTTCAAAACCAAACTTGGAGAGATGAGAGACACCTGCAAAGGAAAAGAAAAGTACACCCAAGCCTTGGAAGTAAGAGATGATTTTCACTTTTTCAGCGCTTTACAATTTTCACCATTAGTTGAAATTGAAAGTATCAAACTATAGGAAGCGTAATACAGAAGTACAGGTCGATGAAATACAAAGAATCTCATTTTGAATTGTCATGATGAAACTATTTATCCAAGTCTTTCTGAGACTATATAAAGACGGAAAACGATGAAACAATCTTTTGTTTCGTAACATTATCTTTATAGTTCACATAATCTGTTTTGTTACAGCTTGTTTTTGAGGCTAATGGTGAAGCGGTTGCTAAACATGGCCACTGTCCATTCTTCGCCTGTGGATGTCCTTTGAAAAGCGACCACAATGGAAAATTCATCGTAAGTAGATTCAGTTTGAAATGCAATTTTCAAAACCCTCAAAATAACCCAAAGTATAGAGAAAACCCTAATGATAAAGTATGACCTCGACAACACCTAATGCAAGGAATACTTAAACTAGGCAAATCATCGCCCATTATCCTCCTAATTACTTTTCGTATCCATTTGTAGACTCCTGAGACCATGTCCATGGACTACGTTAAAGGTCACTGCCCAGCATTCGAGAAAGGCAAGGCTTGTCCTTACAATGTTCCACAACTGAAAGGATTAGGCAAGCATTGCCCAAAGTTTGCTGATGGCAAATGCCCATTYAGAGATGTGGAGAATGTTGGAGAGCTCAAGGCTAAAATGGGTGAAATGAGAGACACTTGCAAAGGGAACGCCAACTACAAAAAAGCCATCGATGTAAGAACAAATATCGTGGGTATTAATCTACCCGGCAACCTCGCTCTTGTTAGAATAAATTGCTCTTTAAATATGCCYTCAGAAACGTTTTTTATTTAGTGACTTGCAAAGATATAATCGACCTCCAATCTGTTTTATCAGTGAAAGATGAGATACGAAGTGTTATTCTTCCAAATGACACTAGCTCAGACAAACATATCTAGTCGAGAGAGTCGAGATAGTTGACTGACTTTTTACGACCTCTAGTCATTTGGAAATTTTGTTGTCATGTTCTACAAAATAGCATACAGTCATAAAGATCAACTTTACATTTGCAGCATATCATTCCTTAATGAAAATTCTTTTTACCATATGCGCAAATAATAATAATAAT